CTGAAAGTGCACTCTCAATCCCCAAGCCCTAGATCTCAAAACTTATAGTCGACTCTCTCTCTCTCTCCGTCTCTTTCTGTCGGTCACAACTAAAATCTCAGTCAACAGAACCGCCAACAACAACAACCTGACCATGCTGAAGTCTAGAGATCTAACATAGATAGTCAGTAGGAAAATCGCTCGATGTAGCCGATGGAAAACCTACGCACATGAATATTGCTCCCTCCTAACATAGAGCAGGAAAAAATGGTTGCTTACAAACGAGGCATAACCCCATAGCGGTATTATAACAAAGAATTTTGACTGTCATCATCCGGCACAATTCTGAAAGTTTCTACTGGGATGCCGGAGGAGTGGACGGTGACTCCCACTCTTTTAATCAGGTACCAAAGGAAACCTCCCGAAACTAATTCCCGGTGAGTCATAGCGTAACCAGTTTTTGGGACGCTTGGGAGGATATGGTCCGCGCGCTCTGGTTGAACCTGGCGAATGCAAATGGCACTGAGGGGAACATCTTTTGATCTAACACTGGGCCAAACCTGCAATCTTACTCCATTTACTGGGGTGTTTGGCGCGGAAACGTCGGTCAAATTTCAGAGGGCAAGTGCGAGATGTGAATGAGAGGCGGGGTGAGAAGCGGAAAAACCAAGGCTGAAGAGCTTTACTTACCGCACTGCACACAAATGGATACACAGGAGTACCGTTTGCGGGCGTACTTCTCCTCGTTGCTGGGTGGGTCGCGCCAACGTGCGGATAGGTAGCCGAAGCTCTTCCAAAAGCGGTTTATGTCCTCACTACCGTTCTTGTCGATAGACAAGTCGTCCCAGTACTGCATCAAATGATCGGCCATGGCACGCATGAGTTGGCGGAATTCTTTTGCATCAGCAAAATCCTGCTTGTTATGTGTTGGTTCTGGTGAGTTGAAAGAGAAAAGATAAAGGTTAGTGAGTTAATGGATTAAAACGAAGAAAAAATAAAGGGTAGTGGCTTGACGTTCAACCGGATACGAGACGATCAAAATCATCATTTGCCTCTTTTGCTTTTGGGGCAACCCGAAAGATACTTCTTGAATTTCACATTTGAAACGATTTGGGCCCCTAAAGACGAGCAATAAACCTTGTCAGGGGCCAATGGAGATAAATAGAGTAATAAGATTCCTTTTGGTATGCCCGATACAATAATTTGGAGGTTCGCTGAATATCAATGAAATTTCAAAATACGTTCTGGTCCAAACATGGAAATATAACTAAAACTGCTAAACAGCGCCATGCCTTTGTTGCCGAAGGAGTCCGTTGAGTAACCGTGAGAGCATGGTACCGCACGGACTCCTTAGACCAAGTTAGCCTCGCCAAGTCACGGAAAATCGATGACTTTGCCTACCGTGGCAACAGCACACCCGCCCAATTTATTGTTATCGATCGAAGACACTATCTGCAGGACTGCTTAACTCGCCAATTTCAAGTGGGAGAGGTAAATAGTAGACGAGAGAAGTCGATCCAGTAAAAGTAACACAAACAAAATCTGAGGGGAAGCATTAGGACTAGTCTTTGTGAGACGGCAGTTCGACTTAAATCCGACAGCAGACGCGCCCGCAAAGATCACCAAAAAGGAGGTTTATGTTTAGAGCTTTTTTTCCCTGATTCGATTAAATTCGATACCTAACATCAGATATTTATTTCAGGAAATGTTAACCGAAATTAGGAAATGTGTGTTCGATTGAAACGGAATACTTGGATGGGGCTTTGAAACCGACTATCATACAGCCTAGATACGTCAATCACCCAGAATGCTGGCCTTCGAATGGACATTATTTAGACAGCCTGCAAGAATCACGTCAGCTAAAAATGACAACTTAAATAGGATGATTTTTCCGTCGATTTTCGATATCCTTATAAATTTTAATATGTTTAATAGAAAACGTGTACAGAACACCCCTTCTTGTACTTGTTGGACAGTCAACAAAGTCCTTCAAAGTCAATACTCTAAGAGTGGGTACTTTCGATTGAAAAAAGTATTAAGTGACGATGGTTCGGAGGAACGTAATGTCTCCCTTCAAATAGCATGGTAGCTGTCTGTTTAAGTATGTTCCTTACGAGGTATCCAGCACAGCACACTCGCTACAACATGCTATGGATGCTAGATGCTATCATCTTAAGAATTTATAATTTTTACTATATGGAAGATTTACAGCTTGTAGTCCAGAAACTCTAAACGTAAGTGCAACAGCAGGTAGGGTTCCGAATTATTATAAAATGCCTCTTTTTTGTTAAAACTGCAAGATGCCCTCTCCTGCATCAAGTGCCTAAAAAAATAGGTATTCAAAAGCCGACATTTTGGTGTGACTGAGAGACCTTGGGGCTGTACGGCGTGGTAATCAATATTACAACACCACATAAGTAATAGTTCCCGATCGAAACTATATTTCAGAATTTCGGTTTACACTTCATGAGCTACGTCACCTAATGCATCTGTTCTAGGGCAACGAATAATCATGCGAACCTAGAAAAAGATCAATTTGTGGGGATGGGCTACTATTAGTCAATTTATTGGAATTGTAGGAATACGTTGCTTGGGATTTGGACGCAGTCTTTAGCCTCCGGCAAAATGCTGCGGCATAAAAAAGGCCACGTTTTCTCCAGGCAAGTTTGCCTGTCGGTAGGCTACACTGTGACTTTAAAATCGCTCCAATGTTATCTAAACAAACACATTAGCTAAGAGCCCAGCCGGCTTTTTTATAAGTTTTTGAACATCGTAATGGACGAAGGAGATGTAATCATCCGGAAAAGGATTTTATCGGTCTGCCCTTTCGGAGGCGTTTCGATTCCAGCTCTTCGTGGCCATAAAGTGAAAAGCTACACACGATGGTTGGAACCAGCTGTATAAATGCAGATCAATAGCATCTCCTTTTCAGCAATGAATCCCCTTCCTCATTTTTCACAGAAGAGGGTGATTATTTTTAATCTAAGCATAAGAAGTGTTTGAATACAGTAAAGCGTGGCACAACACTCTACGTTCTAATTAGACAGTAGTTAGGAGGGAAATTTCCTCATCTAAGGGCATTATAGGACATATTTCGAACAATAACTAATGCTCGACAGAAACCAGGGTGTACGTTCTCACGTATGTATTCGGGTTGCCCCCACTTTCCTCCATTTAACAGTAACACAACTATCTGTCTCCTTATAACACTAGACGCATTATTTTGCCGTTTGTACCTTTGGCATTAACGTTAACGCCAATTACTTGATATTTTATATTAGTCAACACCATATTGTTTATCCTATAGACGATTGTCCGCGTTTTGAGTAATTACGCCCTTTTTTATTTGTTTGAATTTCATATATTGGTCCCGCGCAAACTGGCATTATCTCGCTGCTCCTAAGCTTACAAACTGTGTGTAAGGATAATATTTATGTTTTTCCTAATCTCCTCCAATTACAGAACCGTGTTTATTTTCTCTTTACAGTTATCGATTCAATTTCATGGACTACGCGTTTTTATAAGCTAACAAGTAAGAACCAGACCGGTCTTAAGCAACTGGTTAATTATAGAACATGCAAAACTCTACATAGAGTATACTGCCTGTGGTGGTTCTCTCCAGCAAGCTTTAAGAAGAGAAAGCATGAAGGAGGGGAAACTCACCGAGAACCATGTAGGGAACATCAACAATACCGACAACACCGCGGCACATCATGCTGGAGTCCTGCTGGGGACCTATTCGTTGGTACATCTTGATGAGGCGCGAACAGTTGTAGATAAACATGCCATCACAGGCTCGATTAACTACGTTCATGCCAAAGTAGAAGGTAAGGGTCTTCGGCTCCTTGAGGGCCTTCTGCTTCCGAGCGACGGTGTTTTGGCGCAGAGTAACCAGATTGCGCAACTCGGCAGCAGCATTATTTAGCCGGCGTACGAGTTTCTGTGAGAGAGGTGAGGGGTGTGATTAAGTAATGCACACAGACGATGTCAAGATTGAAAGAAGAAAATAAGCATCTTTTACGCGCCATGGTGCCTATAAGAAACAATGTATACGGGCAAAGAGTGTAGCATCGAGAAAAAGTAAGGAAAACAATCAGTGTTGATTGGGGCAATAGAGTGCGACGACTTTAAGGGAACTCTATCCACGGGAAAGCAACAGAAGATGGTAAATCGAAACTCACTTTTTTGACTGGACAGGACGCAAAAAACTAGCGTCCGAGTTGACCAGAATATGCATTTGATAGTGCGGCACAAGGTGGTCACGTGTATGTGAATACATTATTGCAATGACTATAGTAATATAAGGCAAAGAACCATCCCATGGTGAAAAAAATAACTAGCAGCGCATCGGTGCGCTAGTCCGCAAAGAGTAGACTAGTTAACGCGCTACCTGGTATACTAATAAAAATCAACAGCTCACCACGGAAACCAAACCCCCAGAATTCTCTATTACGGAACAGGTGGTAATGGGGGTTTTACAGGTGGGGGAGATAACGGAGCGCGAACAGAAAAATGAGGGAAAAGATCAAATAAAACGGGAAATAGTAGAAAAATATTATAAAAAGCCTACATATACGACAAAACGTGTGATAATTTATAAGTAAATAAAAATGAAAATAATAAGTAATAATATATTGAATAAATTAATAAAAAATAAATTATCATTACCACTGGTCACGTATTACAGAAGTCTAGGCTTCCGTAACTCATAATAGTCTGGCACCAAATCGACTAGTTAAAAAGGGACGACAGAATGCGCTCTCAAATGACTGGGCGCATTCTAATTTGTTAAAATTTGAAGAACAAAGAGACTTATATATACCTTAACGTAGATAGAAACTGCAGATTAATCGGATCGCACGTGATAGACTTAAACGGGAAAACTAGCTCATGGGCCCCAAACGTAG